GGGCGGTGCCGGGACCGCGCCTGGGGCTGGGGCTGGGGCCGGGAGCGCTGCCGGTGCCTTCCCCGCCGCGCCATGCACGTCCCCCGAGCGGGGGCCGGCGCCACGGGGCTCCGCTTCCTCGGGTAGGGACGGGGTACGGTGGGGAGGGGTCGGGCAGGGCAGCGGGATGGGTGCAGGTGTACACGGGGGGCTCAGCTCTGTGTGCTGGTGCAAAGTCGAGGGGGTCACAGATCACAGCCCGCAGGCTGGGCCTGGCCGGGTTTTGGGGTACCCAGGGGTGCCGTCTCCCCCCCCAGGCAGGAGGAGGCCCAGGCTATCGACCAGGAGCTCTTCACTGAGTACAAGTTCAGCGTGGATCAGCTGATGGAGCTGGCGGGGCTGAGCTGTGCCACTGCCATCGCCAAGGTGGGGGTCCTGGGGGGCACAAGGGGGTCCTGGCACTGTGGGCTGAGCTGTGCCACTGCCATCGCCAAGGTGGGGGTCCTGGGGGGCACAGGGGGTCCTGGCACTGTGGGCTGAGCTGTGCCACTGCCAAGGTGGGGGTCCTGGGGGGCAGAAGGGGGTCCTGATATTGTGGGCTGAGCTGTGCCATTGCCATCGCCAAGGTGGGGGTCCTGATATCGTGGGCTGAGCTGTGCCACTGCCAGGGTGGGTGCCCAGGAGGTGGGTGGAGGTCATGGGGGAGAGTTCCAGCACTACAGGCTGAGTGCTACCCCCACCATCGACAAGCTAGGGGCCCTGGGGAGCAAGGGGAGGGGTCCTAGCATTGTGTACCAAGCTGTGCTACCACCAAGGTGGGCACCAGGAAGGAATAGTGATCCTGGGGGATCATCCCTGTCCCATGGGCATACCAGTCCCAAGTTGGGGGTCTTGCAAATCCCAGCCCCATGGTGTGGGCCCACTCCCCCATCATAACCCTGTGCCTCTTGCCCCCCATCAGGCCTACCCACCCAGCTCCTTCACCACGAGCCAGCCCGCTGTGCTGGTGGTCTGCGGGCCAGGGAACAACGGCGGCGACGGGCTGGTCTGCGCCCGGCACCTGAAGATGTTTGTGAGTCTTGCACAGGCAGCCACAGGGTCCCCATGAGGGTGCTGGTCCCTGTGGCCTCCAGGGAGCCACTCTTCTAGCTGCTGCTGGTGCCAGAGTGGGATTAGCTCAGGCTCCTTCTGCTCTTGCAGGGCTACCAGCCAACCGTGTATTACCCCAAGCGCCCCAGCAAGCCCCTCTTTGAAGGTTTGACCACCCAGTGCAATAAGATGGATATTCCCTTCCTCCCCGAGTTCCCAACCGAGGTGAGGAGCAGCCCCCAGCTTGGCAGCACCTTCCCCTGGAGCTGTGGCCAGCTCTGCCCTTCACCTGCCACCATCCCCGCCGCAGGCTGCGTTCATCGACGAGCTCTACGGCCTGGTGGTGGATGCCATTTTTGGCTTCAGCTTCACGGGAGCAGTGCGGGAGCCCTTTGGCAGCATCCTCAGCACTCTGGAGCGCGTCACGGTGCCCATCGCCAGCATCGACATCCCCTCAGGTGAGTTGTGGCTGCACCTGCCGGGGGAAGGTGCCCGGCCAGGGTGGTGCCAGCTCCAGCGTGGCTCGTTGCAGGCTGGGATGTGGAGAAGGGGAAGGCAGACGGCCTCCAGCCCGACATGCTCATCTCCCTGACGGCGCCCAAGAAGGCAGCGATGCATTTCACCGGCCGCTACCACTTTCTTGGGGGCAGGTTTGTGCCCCCTGCTCTCCAGGAGAAATACGCTCTGAACCTGCCGGCGTACCCCGGCACAGACTGCGTCCTGCAGCTCACCTAGAGCTGGGGCCACAGGGGCTGGGGGGCCAGGCCTGGCTTCAGCACTGCACGCCAGGGCCAAATTCTGCCCAAGCCTCTGCTAGGAGGGTGCTCAGCACCTCACTGGGCTTTGATGTGAGCCTGCAGGATGGAAAGGCCCAGCAGGTGGGAGTGGTGAGGGGCTGCAAGGTGAGCTCTCTCTGGGGCTGCTGCCTAATCCAAGTGCTACAGGTGTAAAGGTGAGGGGGTTCTGCCACTCACGGCACCACTCACACTTTGGGATAATCTGATCGCAATAAAGATTTATTCATGCCCTTGAAAAAATACGTCAGTACTCTGCAGTGTGTGTCCTTGTGTCCTTCTGTGACAGGCCCATGGCAAATGGGTCCCTGCCCCAGGGCCTGGGGGGAACCAGGGTCACTCCTGAAGGTTCAGGTGGTGAAGTAAAGCTTGATCCAGCTCCAGACCAACTTGTCCTAGCCCAGCATCCCCAGGCAGCTGGGCCACAGTGCTGGGCTCCATCTGGAACGAGCTCAGAGCACCCACCAGCACCAGGATCAGGACCCTTACAGCCAGGTGGCACTGGCAGCTGCACAGTCACTTGCTCATTCTGGCTCCTTCTTCCTCTTCTTCTTCTTCCTCTTCTTTATAGGGCTGTATCCCAAGTTTGTCTCATCTGTCTCTTGCAGAGGTACATCTGTTTCAGCTGGCTCTTCTCTGTCCTGCTCTTCCTGCTTCTTCTTCTTTTTCTTCTTTCTCCTCTTTGCAGCCTTCCCATCCTCTTCCACCACCTCCTCATCTGTGCTTTGCTCTGGCTTCTTCCTCCTCTTCATGACCTTCCCCTCCTCTCCTGATACCTCTTCTCCACACGGCTCTGTGATCACCTTCTTCTTCTTCTTCTTCTTCCTCACGACCACTTCCTCTCCTGTCAGCTCCTCTTCTCGGCTTGACCCCTGCTTCTTTTTCTTCTTCTTCTTCATAACCTTTTCTTCTTCCAACACCTCCTCCTGTTCTGTGTTTGGTTCCTGGCTCTGTGGCACCTCGGCTCCATCCCTGGACTGTTTCCTTTTCTTCTTTTTGCCCTGGCTGCTGTCTGGGTGCTCCTGCTGCTGCCCCCGTTGCCGGTACGTGGCCAGGAAGGCTCGCTCCTGCTCCTCCAGGCGTGCCAGCTTGGCACTCATGGTCAGGCCGTGACGGGCACCCCTGCAATGACCAGACAACAAGGACTGGCACCTCCCCAGCAGGGAAGGTGGTGCCCAGCCCAGCCTGGAAGGAGGGGGCAGCCCGGCCAGCTGACCCCCAGGCACTCACTTGTGTGCTGTGCGGCCCCCGCACGCCTGCACCAGCTCCTCGTCCGTCAGCCTGGGGACAGACAAGAGGTGTCACCCCAGCATCTGTGGGGCACACGGGCTGGAGCAGGGCTCCACCTTTCAGCCCCGCTCCCTCCCCGTCAAGGGATGGGCCCAGCCTCACCTCCTGACCGAAGAGAGGTCCAGCTTCTCCTCCTCCTCCTCCTGGCTGCTCTCAGAGCCGGCGGGCAGTGCCACAGCCTCCTCCCCACAGGCTGTGAGCGTGGCTGACTGCAGCACAGAGACAGAGACTGTGAGAAAGGGCAGCGAGGAAAACGGGGTTCTGGGGGCCACAGCAGCAACGAGCTGGGGGCCAGGCAGCCCCCAGGCTGCTGGGGCCAGTTACCTTCACAAAGCGGCCGTAGAGCAGGCTCCCACTGCTGCCAGCCTTGCGTGGCTTCTTATTGCTGATGCTGCCTGCCTGCTCAGAAAGTGCCTTCACAGAGATGCCATCCTGGGAGAGAAAAAAGGCAAAGGCTTGGAAATGATCTGTCCAAGCAGCACCTCTCCACCACCACAGCCCCAACAGAGCCTGGGGGGATATGGTGGAGTCACCGAAGGAGCCCAAACAGCCTCCCCTGCCTTCAACCCCATCCCTGTCCCCCAGCCCTCCAACCTGCCCGGCCTCCACAGCGATGTTGGCGGCCGCCTTGTTGAAGACGTGGTCCCACCAGTGGAAGGTGAAGGGCTCCGCCGCGTCGTGTCCCACCTGCGGGGCACACAGGAGCTGCCGGAGGGGCTGCGGGGGGCAGCGGGCCCCGGCCCGGGGCAGGACCGGCACTCACCCCCGCCGTGTCGCACTTCACCTTCACCCGGATGGCCTCGGCGATGCCGTCCTGCCGCCTGCCCAGCCCCTGCCCTGCACACGAGGCACCCGTCAGCCCTGCGGGACCCCCAGGCTGGGGAGAGACCCCAGAGCGGCTCCGGCAGGAAGGAGGGAGGCGGGGAGGGGGACCGGGGGCTGCAGGGTCCCGGGGCTGGGGGGAGATGGGGAGGATGGGGCTTTGGGGGGGGGATCAGAGTGTGGGGGAGCCAGGGACAGGGACCCCCGCCCGGCCCCACCTCGGCGCCAGCCGTGCCGCCTCAGCTGGGTCTCGGCGAACAGCATCCCGCGGCCCGGCGGCTCCGGGGCGCTCATGGCCCGGGGATCCCCGGGGGTCCCGGTGTGTCCCGGTGTGTCCCTGGGGGTCCCGGTGTGTCCCTGGGGGTCCCTGGGGGTCCCGGTGGGTCCCGGCACCGCCGCACGAGGCCGGGGCGGGGTTACGGAAAGGGCTGTGCGCATGCGCGAGGGACACACGGACATGGGGACAGGGATAGGGACAGGGGGACAGGTAAAGGGCCATGGGAATGGGGGACAGCCGGACATAGGGACAGGGATAGGGACAGGGGGACAGGGGATACACGGACATGGGGACAGGGACAGGGACGGGGGGACAGGTAAAGGGCCATGGGAACAGGGGACACACGGACATGGGGACAGGGATAGGCACGTGGAGACATGGGAACAGGGATAGGGACAGGGGTACACCCGGACATGGGGACAGGAGTAGGGACATGGGGACAGGGAGTACACGGACATGGGGACAGGGATAGGGACGTGGGGACAGGGTACACGGACATGGGGACAGGGATAGGGACATGGGGATATGGGAACAGGGGTAGGGACAGGGGACACACAGACATGGGGACAGGGATAGGGCTGTGGGAACAGAGGGTACACAGACATGGGGGCAGGGTTAGGGACATGGGGACACACAGACATGGGGACAGGGGAACAGGGGCTACATGGACATGGGGACAAGGATAGGGACGTGGGGACAGGGGTACACGGACATGGGGACAGGGATAGGGCTGTAGGAACGGGGGTAGGGACATGGAGATGGGGGACACAGGGACATGGGGACAGGGATAGAGATATGGGGATGGGGGGATACACAGACATGGGATCAGGGACAGGGACATGGGGACAGGTGTGAGCATGCACATGGGGACAGAGATGAGGGCATGGGGACAGGGGGACACACAGACATAGGGGCCACGGCGACATGAGACATGAACATGGAGACGTGGGATACACGGGGATGGGGATACACATGGGTGTGCACACAGGAGCACACACAGAGCTGACCTGTACACAGACAGACAGACAGACAGACAGACACACACACACTTTTCCAAGCTGCCCTACTCCATAAGCTCCTAACCCCAGGATGTTTCCCTCCTGACCTTCTCTTGAGCGGCCCCACCTCGGCGCCAGCCGTGCCGCCTCAGCTGGGTCTCGGCGAACAGCATCCCGCGGCCCGGCGGCTCCGGGGCGCTCATGGCCCGGGGATCCCTGGGGGTCCCGGGGTGTCCCTGGGGGTCCCGGTGGGTCCCGGTGGGTCCCTGGGGGTCCCGGTGGGTCCCGGCACCGCCGCACGAGGCCGGGGCGGGGTTACGGAAAGGGCTGTGCGCATGCGCGAGAGGCGGGGCCGAGAGTGCGCCGGGGGCGGGGCGGGGCACGGGGGCGGGGACAGGGACGGGGGGACACACGGACATGGGGACAGGGGGACAGGTAAAGGGCCATGGGGATGGGGGACAGCCAGACATAGGGACAAGGATAGGGACAGGGGACACACGGACATGGGGACAGGGATAGGCACGTGGAGACATGGGAACAGGGATAGGGACAGGGGTACACCCGGACATGGGGACAGGAGTAGGGACATGGGGACAGGGGTACATGGACATGGGGACAGGGATAGGGACAGGGGAACAGGGGCTACACAGACATGGGGACAGGAGTAGGGACATGGGGACAGGGGTACATGGACATGGGGACAGGGATAGGGAGATGGGAACAGAGGGTACACAGACATGGGGGCAGGGTTAGGGACATGGGGACACACAGACATGGGGACAGGGGAACAGGGGCTACATGGACATGGGGACAAGGATAGGGACGTGGGGACAGGGTACACGGACATGGGGACAGGGATAGGGACATGGGGATATGGGAACAGGGGTAGGGACAGGGGACACACAGACATGGGGACAGGGATAGGGCTGTGGGAACAGAGGGTACACAGACATGGGGGCAGGGTTAGGGACATGGGGACACACAGACATGGGGACAGGGGAACAGGGGCTACACGGACATGGGGACAAGGATAGGGACGTGGGGACAGGGTACACAGACATGGGGACAGGGGTAGGGATGTAGGGACAGGGTACACGGACATGGGGACAGGGATAGGGCTGTGGGAACAGGGGTAGGGACATGGAGATGGGGGACACAGGGACATGGGGACAGGGATAGGGATATGGGGACGGGGGGATACACAGACATGGGATCAGGGACAGGGACATGGGGACAGGTGTGAGCATGCACATGGGGACAGAGATGAGGGCATGGGGACAGGGGGACACACAGACATAGGGGCCATGGCGACATGAACATGGAGACGTGGGATACACAGGCATGGGGACACACATGGGTGTGCACACAGGAGCACACACAGAGCTGACCTGTACCGGCGACATGAGACATGAACATGGAGACGTGGGATACACGGGGATGGGGATACACATGGGTGTGCACACAGGAGCACACACAGAGCTGACCTGTACACAGACAGACAGACAGACAGACAGACACACACACACTTTTCCAAGCTGCCCTACTCCATAAGCTCCTAACCCCAGGATGTTTCCCTCCTGACCTTCTCTTGAGTCACTTTGAACTTGCCCCTCCATAGTCAGGGCTGTGGCCACAGGGAACTGCCCATACCACGGAATTTGGTAACAAAAAAAATGGTTTGTTGAAAGGAATGTGGGTGTTGGTTTCCTGCCATCTTTCTCTCCTCCGCATTTTTCAGGTTTGATTTCAAATTTGGAAGTGTTACACTGGGACACTGGGGGGAAAGGCTGCAGATCCCCTCCAGGGAAAGGGGGAGGAATGAAATGTAAAGATATCCTTGACAGCAGAAATCTCTCCCAATCAATCAGCCGGATTTGCCACTACCTGCTGCTGAAATCACTTCATTCATTATGTTTTAAAATAATTAATTCTATGTATCAGAGGAAAATGAGAAGAAACAGCCAGTGAGAACACCTTTGGGCAAACTCCTTGGGGAAGGAGAGATATGGGAGTGAGAAAGCGCAGTGGTTCCTTTGGAAGGAGGCCTTTGAACAGCACATTAGCAGGGATTAGGGAAAGCTCTGGAGGGGATTAAGATTTCACTCAAAGGCTCCTTCTCAGCCGCCTTCAAAGCTCCTTTTCCTCCGGAGCCTGGGAAGGCCAAATCTGCACCCCGTGGGTACCAGAGCAGAGCCAGCTGCATCCACCCTGCAGCCCCCTCCTGGTGACCCCAACCCCATCCCAGTGATCCCAGTCCCCTCCTGGTGATCCCAGCCCCCTCCTGGTGACCCCAGCCCCCTCCCAGTGACCCCACTCCCCTCCCAGTGACCCCAGCCTGGCTGTCCCACCCCCGAGGGCTGCAGCCCCGACCCTCCCACCTCTCCTTCCCGCAGCTCTGCCCTGGGAGCAGCACCGGGCAGCTCTGCCAGGCTGCTGGGGGAGGTGGCACTGCATGGGCACCAGAGGCTGCCCCGTGCCTCTGTTTCAGCATCTTGGCTGTAGGGCTGGCAGCAGGGGAGGAATGAGCCCAAAGTGGCACAAGAGGAGATGCTACAGTTCCCAGTGATCCCAGCCCCATCCCAGTGATCCCAGTCCCCTCCTGGTGATCCCAGTCCCCTCCTGGTGACCCCAGCCCTCTCCTGGTGATCCCAGTCCCCTCCTGGTGATCCCAACCCCCTCCCAGTGATCCCAGTGACCCCAGTCCCCTCCCAGTGACCCCACTCCCCTCCCAGTGACCCCAGCCTGGCTGTCCCACCCCCGAGGGCTGCAGCCCCGACCCTCCCACCTCTCCTTCCCGCAGCTCTGCCCTGGGAGCAGCACCGGGCAGCTCTGCCAGGCTGCTGGGGGAGGTGGCACTGCATGGGCACCAGAGGCTGCCCCGTGCCTCTGTTTCAGCATCTTGGCTGTAGGGCTGGCAGCAGGGGAGGAATGAGCCCGAAGTGGCACAAGAGGAGATGCTACAGTGTGGAGAGACAGGGGAAATTTGTTTTCCCACTTAAGCAAGAGACGCCAAGGACTGGACAGCCTTTGAGGGCTCATCGTGGCATTTCAGGAGTTAGAGAACTTGTTAAAATGGTGGACAAAGTCTTTTTATATGGAGAGATAATGATGACACAAGGGGAAATGGTTTTAAACCAAAAGAGGGAAGACTTAAGCTGGATATTGGGAAGAAATTGCTCCCTGTGAGGGTGGGGAGGCCCTGGCACAGGGTGCCCAGAGCAGCTGTGGCTGCCCCATCCCTGGCAGTGCCCAAGGCCAGGTTGGACAGGGCTTGCAGCAACCTGGGACAGTGGAAGGTGTCCCTGCCCATGGCAGGGGTGTGGGATGAGATGAGCTACGAGGTTTCTTCCCACCCAATCCTTTCTGGGCTTCTCAAACTCCTGTGGACTCTCCTCAGTGCTTCACATCCACTGCAGCAGGATTCCTCCAGCATGCAGGGATGCATTTCCAGCCAGCCTTGGAGTCACCAACCTGCTCCATCCCTCCAAGCCCCTGTTCCAGCACACACACAGAGCCCCTGCACTGTGGTGACCGACACCACCTCACACCTTGCTGGCACGCTGAGGGGGTGGAAGGATGATTTCTGCCTGGCCAGAAACAACACTGCTGGGGCTCATTTTGCTCCTTGGGGATTCAAACTCACTATAGGGCTGTATCCCCACACCCTGTGCACCCTCCCTTCCCTGCTTGCACAGCCATCCATCCATCCATCCATCCATCCATCCATCCATCCATCCATCCATCCATCCATCCATCCATCCATCCATCCTCCCACAAGCACATTCCTTACAAGAGCTGGCTTGTGCAGACTTCAGTGCCATCAGGGGACACTGAAGAGATCCCGAGGCTCACAGGCACTTTCAGGAGAGTGTTTTGAGCTGCAAAGGGACCAATCAGTAACATTTGGGAAGAGCTCTGACCCTGCCAGTGCCAACTGGGACCTCCAGTCCCATCCCTGCACAGCTTTGTGCAAACTTGCCATGTCTGAGAGGTGCACAAAGCACTGCACGTTTGTGCACAGCCTCCAGAAGAGGTTAAAGCTGCTTTCTAAATCCTCCTCCAAGGGACTGCAGGCTCATTAGGATGCACACACAGAGGCAGGAGTGTTTCCAGCCCCGTGTTTTCTCCACCACCTACACTCTGAGCAACACCAACACCCATCCATCCCAGCTCCAGCTGGGTGCAGCAGGTTTTACAGGTATGCAGCAAACCTCCTGTTCCCTCTCTGCCCAATCCTCCCACACTGAAAGAAACTCAAAACTCTCAAACAACACTGACTCCCAAGCTCTCAACAGTTCCAACAGCTGCTAATTGCCAATTCTAATTCAAAGGGAACTTCCAAACTGGCACTTTAGTGTTTGGGAAGCTCCAGCAGCATTCCTGAAGTGTCAGAGGTTTCCTGGCCAGGAGGGAAGGACAGCACAGCACAGATTAATCCCAAGTAACTGGGAACTGGCCCAGCTGAGCCAAGGATGAGACAGGGATGCAGGGAGACAGATGGTTGTGCGCATTTATTTTCCTTTGATAAAAATGGTGTATGCAAATTACACAGCCATGGAGGCTCCTGGGAAATACCACCCTGCTGCTCCTGGGGAGTCTCTTGGACAGTCTGAACATTCAAACACACCAGAATGGAAGGGGGGGTGGAGGATGGATCTAAACTGGGAGGAACATGAACTTCAACATTTTTCAGTGAGGCGAAAAGACTGTTAGCTTATTTTTCCATTTCCTTTTTAGTTTTCACACTTGTACAAATGAGCCCACTGAGCACAAGAGTCAATGCCCCTGGACACCTCTGACCAGGAACCACATGACTTGGGCAGAAACACACCTTCCAAACACCTTCCTCTGCACAGCACCTTCAACTCAAGCTCAAGAACGGCACACGTGGTCACTGCACACCCCTGGTTTCCACTACACCACCCCCAGAGTGTAAAGAGGCCACACTTCAAATGCAGGTTTTGCACCCACTAACCCTCTACCAGGAGACTGGAGGCACCTGTGAGTGAGGGACACGGGCTCGGTTCATCCCAGGAAACATTAAGACAAATGACATCAGAAATTCTCAGGTAATTTCAATTTTTCTTTTGATCCATTCCCAATAAGACACTGAGAGAAATAACCAATCCCCAAACTCGGCTCAATTTTTTAAATATTTGCCTGAAAGGAGGGCTAAGGGAAGGAATCATGTACAGTTAAAATCAAGCTACTCAAAACACAATCATTCAGGTAAGTAACTAGAAGTATCGCCTCTACCATCTAGAGAGAGAGAGAAGAGTGTCTGAGACAGGGCATATTTAGGAAAAAATACACATCTGAAGTCTCTGTGGCCACGATGAGAACTGGAATCCACATACAAGCCAGTTAAAGAGCATTTCAACATGAAATCTTAACTTAGTAGGAAGGTCAGGGGTTAAGCTGTATCTTTTTGTTTTAAATACATGGACAGCTGTCAGATATGAAAATGACGGCGGGCTTTCCGGAAAGATCCCCTGTGCATGTGTATGGATGCGTGTGCTGACGTCTGTGGGGCAGCAGGGCAGAGCTTAGGAAGGCTGGGAGCCCAGCAGTCTCTCGATAGCTGCGTTGATGTCCCCGCCGGTGGCGATGAGCGCCTGCAGGTTGGCCTCACGGTTGATGAAGCCCATGGCATTCAGCTGCTCCAGCTGCTGTTGGAATCGCACTTCGGGACTCTGCGCCTGCGAGGGAAAGGACACGGACCCTGCAGTCAGAGAGCAGGCACAGCACCCCAACAGGGGCACTGCAGGAACCCCAGCTCAGCTCCATGTCAGTCCTGCTTCTGTACTGACAGTGGCACGGACCCTGCAGAGAGCAGGCACAGCACCCCAACAGGGGCACTGCAGGAACCCCAGCTCAGCTCCATGTCAGTCCTGCTTCTGTACTGACAGTGGCACGGACCCTGCAGTCAGAGCAGGCACAGCACCCCAACAGGGGCACTGCAGGAACCCCAGCTCAGCTTCAGGGTCCTGTGGGGACAGTCTCCATGTCAGTCCTGCTTCTGTACTGACAGTGGCAACAGTGCAGGCAGAAGGATCCCCAGCACGCTGAGCTTAAACCTCTTAAAGGTTTCAACACCCCAAGACCCCAACACCAAACCTGGCCTAGAGCACCACAGCCACAAGAGGCTGTTGGGGACCACATCCCCTGAGTGGGGTGAGGTGGGGACCCCCCGGAGACCTCCCTGCCTGTTCCAGCACCCACTGGGCGTTACGTACTTGAGAGCTTCCTCCGGCCAGCAGCTGGATCATCTGCTGCATGAGCTGCTGTTGAGGGTTACCACCCCCAGCTGGAGAGGCACTGGCCGGCGTTGAAGCAGAGGGAACGGGGTTCTCCGGGATTGTGCTTCCTCCTGTGGAGGCCGGGGGCATCCGGGGCATGCCGAAGGAGCCAAGGCTGCAGAGGAAGGCAGGGCACGCTCAGGGTGGCACTGGCAGTGGGGCAGCAGGGCAGCCAGCAGGCGTGACCAGGCTGGCCCTCACTGAAGGCCCTGCTACAGGGCAGCTCTGAAAACTGAACCAGCTGCATCCATGTTCTGGTCACACCTGGCACTGGGGGTGAGCAGAACTAACAGAAGCCTGCAGAGAACTGCTGTGATGGAGCGTGACCCGTGGTGTAAGCAGAGAGCTGATCAGCCTCCCCCAGCACACCCACCCAGCCTGGTGTCTGTCCATCTCATACTGCTCTCCAGAGATAAAGCTCTTGAGTTTAGTGCACACCAAACACAGGATGGGGGAAGGACCAAGTGCATTCCAAACCTTTTCTCCAAAAAGAAAGGGTCAAGCACTTCCCAGTGAAGCACAAGCAAGCAGTGAGTGCTAATTAGCTTGCTCAGAGGGGCCTGCAGGCACACACCAGCACAAGTCCCCATGAGGTGCCCTAAGCAGATCTCCTGGATGAATCCAGAGCCGGTTCTGCCTGCTGGTGCTGGGCACGGCAGCTCTGCCTGCACAGCCCCGCTCTGGAGCGCTCCGTACCTTGGCACTAATCCGGGCGCCTCCGTCTGCAGCGTCTGGAGTCCCTGCTGGATCTGCAGCAGGGCCTGCATGGCGCGGGGGTTGGTGAGGATGGACAGCGAGTCCGGGTTCTGCATCTGGGGACCAAGGCAGAGAGACACCACGGTACCAACTGGGGAGAGCTCAGGCAGCCAGAGCTCCACCACTGTCACAGCGGGGCCAGCGCCAAGCTGCGCCTCTGGATCCTCCTCCGAGGCTCCAGACTGCAGGGCTCGCCTGCAGGGACACTCCCAGAGCTCACAGCAGCTTTCCTAAATGAACTGGGTGAATCAGATTAGAACTGGGGACATGCCTTTGGATTCTGATTTACCTGGGAACCAGCTGCTCTAGCACAATTAACTGTGTAATTTTTGTAAGCTCTACACAGTGACAGACTGTCTACACAGGGGTTCCAAACAGCTTAACAAACCTAATCTGGAGTCCACCATTCAGTAATTCAGATGAGTTAATTCAGACTACCTTTTCTAACAGAGTTCTTCCTCTTTGTCTCCCCTGTGCAACCCCCTTCCTTCCTCAGCCCGGCCCCCCAAGCCCACATGCTTCCTGGTGCACTCAACCGAGCAGCTGAGATCCTGCCTGTCCCACAGAGGGGGAGAAGCTCTGGAGCCAGGGGCTGAGGGCAGCACAGGGCCAGCCAGAGGCCTTTACCTGCTGCAAGAAGACAGGGAGCTGAAGGCGGAGCTGTTCTTGAAGCTGTGGATTCCCAGCAAAGAGGGGGACATTTACCATGATCTAGCAAGAGACAGCACATGTAGGTAGGGTCAGAGGGTTGCTGCCACTTGCTGTTAAACCCTATGCAACTAAGCCATGAACAGGTCACTCGTGTGGCCCCTGACTCCCTCCCTGGGCTTTCAACATTGCTCCCCTGCTGCAGGGGATCAAAATGGGACAGCTCAATTCCTGACAGCAGTGTTGAACAGGGGCCTCCCATGTCCCTCTGAGAGCCACCTCCTGTGTTAGGGGCTCTGCAAAACACACTGGGCTCAGAGCTGGGGCTGCCTTCAGGCTATTGAGAAATACAACCAAACTGTGTATTCACCTGCTCCAGTGTCTGCAGGAGGAACCAGTCTGACCCCAGCAGCAGACTGACACCTCACACTGAGCTCATGGCCTGCCTGGCAACAGCAGACACCTGCAACACTTTTACCTGTGCTGCGAAGTCCGGGTTCTGGGCAAGAGTCTGCATCATGCTCCGCATGTAGGGGGCAGAGATCATATTCTGCATCAACTGGGGGTTTTCAGAAATCTGCTGCAGGAGTCCTTGCATCTCTGGGCTGTTGAACATGCCTGCAAGGGGAAGACAAAGAAAAACCCCTGATGAGCCTGAGCACCACTGCATTGCCTGAAACACAATGTGACAGGAGATAGCACTGCCTGTGCTCCATCCCCTGGCCAGCAGCAAACATGGCTGTGGACAGCCACAGCAGTGCTCTGCTGGCCACTCCTGCTCCTGACCTTCAGGGACAGCAGAGTTCCCAAAGGAACAGTCTGACAAACACATCAGACTAATTAAATGGTGTCTGCAAGTAGGTTAGACCCGTTCCTATGGATAACAGCCACAGACAGGGCTCAAATGCCAGAGGAACCAACCCTCCAAGGAAGCCTGGGTGAGCTGCTCAGCCAGCAGCAGCCTCCAGCTCCTCCCGTACGTACCAGCACCGATGCTGGCAGCATTCAGCCCAAAGGGGTTGGACACAGTTGGGGTGCCCTGGGTGGTGGCCGAGCCCGTGCTCCCTTCACTGCTGGGTGCCTGACTCTGGGAAGCAGGGGGTGTGGGGCTCCAGGGGTTTGGCAATGGCTCTCTGTTCTCTGTCCGCAAAGGCTGAGAGCTCGAGCTGTCAGAATTCCCCGTCAAGGAAGAGAAAGGATTGCTGCCAAACTAGGGAGAAAGAAAAAAAAAAAAAAAGAAACAGATGGAATCAGTTAGTCCCAGCAGACCAACCCCAGCACTGAGTGAGCCAGGGAACAGCAGATCATATTCAGCCAAGTCCAGAATTTGCTAAACATGTGCCATGATCCGCCTCCTGAGAAATCTGCAATCCACAACACACCTCACTCAGAAAAAGACCAGGCTCAGGAGTGGCCACAGCCCCAGATTCAGCTCCCAAATGCAGGGCTTCAAAACGCCCTTGTAAAACCAGCAGCCGGACATAGCAGGAGGTAATGCTGGACTGGAGTATGTCTGCACAGCCCTCTGCAGCCAGGCCTGTGCTCCCTCCTCCTGCACTACCAGCCAACTGGATCTGAGCCAGCTCCCTACTGAAGGCGTCAGGCTCCAGCTAATCCAGGGAGCAGAGGGCTGGGCTAACAGTGACAGGGCCTGCCCATCAGTCAGGGCTGGCATCCAGCTGCGGGCCTGGAGGAGCCAGAGCAGGTCTCTCCTCTGACACCTCAACCCATGTCATGAGAGGCACTGCACCATGTTCTCCTGCACTGGAGTGGAGCCACACTGTAGGAAAACTGCCCCAGCAGCACAGGGGACAGGGAAAGACCCCTTTCCCACACTTCACCCCACCCGCAGAAGGCAGCCATACCTGCTCCCTGGCTGCACTAAACATGGGCTCCTGGATGTCTGTGTACATCCGGCGCAGGGCGTTGTATCCCCCTGGAATGCTCTCGAGGTTACTCAAAGCACGGTCCTGGTTCCGCATCATCTCCTGCATCATGGCAGGGTTACGAGCCAATTCCATCGTCTGGGAGAAGGAGGAAAAGGTGCAAAGCTCAAGCTCCTCTCCCAGGAGAGGCAGAGGATAATTAAACCAAATTCACAGGCAGAGAGCAGAGAGATCATTTATCCATGCAAAGAGAGCCCAGGGATCCAGGCTCCTCCCAGGCCTTGCTCAGCTCTCTTCCTGCTCAGCCTCAGTTCAGCTTGATGAGATGGTTTTGTTCCCAAGCAGCATCAGGACATCCAAACACCCAGCACCCATATGTTCCCACTCAGACTGGATGGACTACATAGCACTGGGAAGGTGGATCCTTCCACCCTCTCCAGACTTTTGATGGGTCTCCCCTGCACAAAAAATATTCAGGTCTCATTTGAGGAACTGCTCAAGTAGAGATTCTTCACAATTTAGTCCTGCAGCTCTGGATTTTCATGTATGGCTGACACAGTTGAAAGCAGAATAACTGAGAAGCAGATGGAAACGAGGCCCATTCAGCACAACCCTCTTTACAAGCCTCCCCAGGAAACAGCAGAGTCCAGTTAATGGCTATTAACACCCAGATTCTCACTGATCCCTTAGGACTCCCTTCTGATGAACCTTTGGTCCTCCAGATAGCCAGGGCTCTTGGACATGGGTCCTCTCTGCTCTGGAAAAATGAGAGCCCTCTGGGATCCCAGCCTACACTAATGCTCCCCACTGATATAGGTAGTGAAACATTCACTGTACAGCTCTGGAGTCTCTATGTAATCTGACATGAGAACTAGAGAGAAACAAAGAACTTTTGCAGTAGCTTCACTTCTCCAGCACTGTTTTTATTCCCATTCCTGAATCATAACACAGTAGCCTTGCTAGAAAAATCCCAGCATCCCTTTTTTCCCAATCCACAATGGATTCAATAGCCCTGAAAGGGAGATAAGAGTTGCAAGGATGTGGGTTGAGTATTTAGTATTCACATAACTCAAGACCACCATCTGTTTGTGGGGAGCTCACAGCAGGAAGGAAGAGATCTCCAAAACCACTGCTCTGGCATTCCCACTCCTCCTCTGCAGCGCAGACACTGATGTTGGTCCACAAAGACTGTCCTCAACACTCTTTACTGAGCCCTGGTGTGACTCACCTGCCTCATGAGCTCTGGGTTATTAAGCATGTGGCTTATCTCTGGATTTCGCTCCATGAGCTGCTGCATCTGGGGATTGGCCATGATCATCTGCCTCATGAGGTCAGGGTTGGACATCATGTTCTGCACCAAGGGATTCTCCATGATCTGGGAAAGCATCTCCGGGTTGGACATCAGCTGCCGCTGCATCTGCTGCTGGAGCTCCATGAAGTTGGCAGAGCCCATGCCAAGGTTGCCCAGCCCAGTGATGCCACCAAAGCCAGCTGGAGAGGGAGCAACACACAGCAAGAGAAGCATGAGTCAGTAACTGTGAGCAACTGCAAAAGAGAACAGGCACAGCAGCTGAACTGCATCCCCACAAATCCAGGAGTATCTTGTATTCCTACAGCAGCCAGCCATAAGTAAGGACAGCCCTACACACACAAACTTCACCAAGTGGCATTACCTTGTGCAGATACACAGAGGTGTGCCCAAGGAGTATCCTGTATTCCTACAGCAGCCAGCTCTGAGTAAGGACAGCCCTACACACACACACTTCACCAAGTGGCATTACCTTGTGCAGATACACAGAGCTGTGCCATGGGAGTGACTCATGCAAAGCCCATGGCAAGCAGAGACAACAATCCCTTGACAAGGGGTCAAGAACCCCATCTCCTTGGTCTAATCCCACAAAATTCTTCCTTCTCCCAGTGCCCACTTACACAGGATGGATGCAGCACTGTTGGGGCCTCCATCTCCAGGACCTCCCACGCTCCCTGACCCGCTGCTCCGTCTGCTGCCGCTCCCCGCGTCCGGACCAGCACTGCTGGATGTGGAGGGCTGAGATGGGGCAGCAGGAGAAGAAGGGTTTGCACTGGGGGCAGAAGCAGCATTGGGGGCAGAAGCAGCAGATGTTGAATCCTGGACCCTGCAAAGGATAAAAAGTATTAAACTCCTGGCACTGGGGAAGGGCAAGGGGAGTCCTCTGCGCGGACACGGGATGTGCACCCCACGACGACCGGGATCCCAGCCCAGCTTCCACCCCGTCTGTGCCTGCTCTGATCCACAGCTGTGCTCCCAGATGCCTTCCATCTGCTGCAATCTGCCTCCCATCCTGAGCACTGCAGCCCCTGACATGTCCTGGCCCAGGCAGAGCAGCTGGACGGGTCTTACCCTGAGTTGTATCCAGCTCTTCCTTGAATCCCACTGAACTATTTACTGCGGGATATCCTTGAGCAATGAGGGTGCTTCAAGCAGCAAAATCCTTCTGCTGCTCCCACAGAAAGCACAGGAGGTTACAGCAGGGCTAGTGCATGGGGTAAACAACAATGCTCACTTCTGAGTATTCCTACCAGTGCTTCTGGGGCAAAAAGGAGCATCAGCATTACTGCACAAAGAGGGAAACTGAGGCACGAGGCAGGCAGCACCGGTCTCACAAAGCCATGGAATGTTTCTGGCCAGCTGGGCTCCAAATTCCCAGCTCTGCCACCTTGATGCAAGGCTCCTGCTCCAACACAAGTTGTCTGGGGCTTCTTTTAACCCACCCAAACAGACAGTGTGCTGTAAGCCACCACATAGCAGGTGCTGGACATCAGCTTTGCTGAATACACCAACCCAGGCTGGTACCTTCTTACCACAGTTACTACTCCTCAAGAGTGTTACAGGAATTTGAAAGAGAACATTTAAAAATTTTCTGAAGCCTCTCCAGTCATGACAGTGAGCCCTGGACTAGTGTTGAACAGCTTTCATTAAATTAGACCACAAAATTCACTTTACTCACCTCAATAATGCTATTAAACCTCTGACAACAAGAACAATGATTTCGTGATTTTTTTCCCAAACCAAGAATTATTCATTTTCTCTATCTCCCTTTCCTTTTTCACTCTTCTAGGACTTGAAAAATCAGCCCTGAAGGCCCCTGTCCTCTGTCCAGACTGACCTGACTGCTGCTGAAAACCACTGGCCACTGACAGAGGCAAAGAGTGGGAAAACAAAGCAAATGGGAAGCTGAACAAGAAAGGAAGAAGGAAGCCAGAGAAAGAGCACTTGGTTTCTCTCAGCCTCTTCCCACAGGAAGAGGCTGTAATGTCTTCAGTAAGCACTTTCCTAGGACTATTAGCAGGAGAAAAATGAGCAGCCCAGGACAGCTCTGATTGCCCCTTTGAAATGGTTCACCAATACCACATTTATACTGGAAACAGCAGGAACAGCATCAGGCTCTCAGGCTACCTGGAGAGACAGCATCCAAGGAGAGGCTGCAGAACCTGACAGCACACTTCCTTGTGTTTGTAAAAGAACAGGTGGAATTAAAAAAAAAAAGGGAAAAACCCCATCTTGATTAATGCAGCTGCCCCAGGGGAACAGCAGAACTGCAGAGACAGCCCTGGAGCTCCCTGGGAGCTGGGGCACACTGTGGCCAGAGCCTGAGGCATGGCTGTGAAGAGCCTTCCAAGATCAATGAAATGTGGCTGCAACTAAAGCACAGCAGCTGTTCCCAAAACCCTTCCTCTCTGGAAAGTGCTGGAAAGAGCTAAACCTGCAGGAGCCTGAGGTGTGTGGTGCACCTGAGCCACATCCCCACAGGGAACTGCCAGGGTGCACCCACATGAGTGAACCCCACTGTGCAGTTGTGCCTGCAGGGGCCACACAGGGCATGTGTGCCTCCTGTGCCACCTCACAGAGCCTGAGGAGGTGACAGAAAACCCAGGTATTACCACAAATTCACTGGGAAAGTAATTTTTTTTTTAATCAGCAACTTTTCCTAGGATTTTTGCTGGTTTGCTAGAACCAGTATCCATTGCTGATGAGTTCTTCCAAGACACACACACACGAGTAATGTTAAAGCACCCGCCCCTGCAGGTACCTGCCATACACCATCACAGCCATCCCTGCACAGGTTAGTGACAAACTCCACTGCTGTGTGCCACAGCTGGGCCAGGGAAGAATCCTCACCATCAGTCATTCCCACCCCCATCTGAGCCCAGCCCACCCAAGACAAAGCTCTTACTTCTGCGGAGTCTTAATGACCAAGTGAACAGTGAGCCCATCTTTGATCCCATGTTGATTCAACGTGTCTCCATCCTTCAGGATCTTCCCAGCAAAGATCAGAACCAGCTGATCCTGTTTGGCTTTAAACCGTCTAGAAATCTCTTCTTTGAACTGAAAAACAAATAGAATTTTTCAGGCAAAGGACTGGTACCAGTAACAAAAAGGGCTCACATCCACTCTGGGAGCAGCCCAAGGAACTGAGCAGCCCTCAGAGCCCACAAAGGTACCACACAGTCACCAGGGGCTGGTGATGTCTGAGCAGTTCATGAAAACCAAAACAAAGCAAAGACAAGCTCTGAAATCACAAACTATGCAGTAAATCTCAGAAAAAACAGAGCCATTCCCTCAGAAGAGCTGAAGGCTTCCAAAGCCAGACCAGTTGTGCTTCAGGCCTAACCCAAACACACCATTTATGCTGAATGATGAACTGGTTTCATCTGCTCATTTGAGTTTTTTTCTCCTAAGGAAAGCCAAACTCTGATTTAATACAGGACAGAGCTCTATGGAAAAGGCAATAATCCTTTACCAGCCAATGGAAGTAAACTAGGTCTTCTCCAATTCCTATTTCTGCAACTGAATTCCCTGTGAGCATGCCACAGAGCATGGACACCTCTTCCTCACTGAGTGCTGTGCTGGGATTTACACCTGCAAGCAAGACACTGCTGGGGCATCCCCACATTGATTTGGAGGAAATAAAGCCTTGGAAAACACAAACTAAAGGGAATTTAGAGGGGAAGGCCAGGATGCAGAGTGAAACACACGCAGGTTCCAGAGCTCTCAGCCTTCAGAGAACTCTAAAATCAAGGCTGGGCACAGCACAGCCCGACCCCAGATCACCCTGTCTGCGTCTCTCCCCACGCAGCTCCGCATCCCCACTGCACAAAACCCTCACAAAACCAAAGGATCAGGAGGGCCACACGTGCACAGCCCCTGCCCACGCCACGAACTGCTGCCCGGAGGTCCCTGCCAGGCCCTTCACACGCCGACCTCGTGCCCTACGCCCCAGCAGAGCGCAGAGCCAGCCCAACGCAGAGCCCATGACACCTTGCCCCAGTGGGCATCGCCACTTCCTCAACGCCAGGGCCGGCCCTAGAGCCCGCCCCTGCCAATCCCAGCCTTTGCCAAGCCCGGCCCTTGGCAATCCCAGCCCTCTCCCGCTCCCTGGCAGGTGCACAGCCCCCCCCAGCCCACCCATGTTTCCTTTCATCCAACGCTGGCCACAAATATCTGCCCGGTTCCTCTCCCCTCGCCCGGGGGATCTGCCTCCAGACGTACACCAGGATCCCCCAGATGTGCCCCCGGCAGCCCCTCACGCCCCTGCCCACATCCCCAACACCTTTCCCACCCCTCCGCTCAGGGAACACTCTCCCCCGCAGCCCAGAGACGGGCCGAGCCCCCAGACCCCACCCCGGCCCTTCACACCCCTCCCACCGCCACCACCCCCAAAGGCGCCCTCCGAGCCCCTCGGCTATTGTGGTTGCGACCCCTCCCACAGGTGAGACCCCCAGACCACCTCCCCTCCAAAGGCCTCGAGCACCTGCCCTGCTTCACACCTCCCCGTTCCCTCCCACCCCGGCTCCAGCACGGCCCAAAGGCCCCGAAAAGCCCCCGAACCCAGCCCCAGGCCTGATCCGGCTCTCCAAGGAGCCCCCCGGACCCTCTGGCCGCCCCCCGGCCCAGAGCACCCTTCCCCCGCCCCTCACGCCCGCGCGAAATCCCTCCCCGGCCCCAAACTCAGCTTCCTTTCCCCAAAAACCCTTCAGCCCACTCCTGGAGCCCTCAGCCCCCGCAGAGCAGCCGCCGCCGCCGCCCCTCAGCGCCCGCGACAGCCCCCCCCAGGCCTCTCCGCCTCCCCGGCCTGCCCCCGCCCCCACCTCGCGCACGGAGGCGCCATCCGCGATGACGATCTCCTCCTTGTCCTTGGGGGTCTTCACGGTTACGCGGATGAGCGCCCCGCCGGGCCCCGAGCCGGGAGCGGCGCCGCAGCGCCGCCTCGCCCCGGGACAGCGCCTCCCGGCGGCCCGGAGGAGCGGCGGCGGCGCGGGGGCGGAAGCGGAGCGCAAAGAGGCGAACAGAGCCTGGGGAGGGCGTGCTGCCCTCAGCGCCCCGCCGGTGCCCCCTCCGACCCCCTTTCACCGGCGCCATCCCCGGTCACCGAGAGCCCACACCCGCCCCGCATTCCCTCCTGCTGCCGAGGCCCCTCTGGAGTCCGAGCACCCACAGGGCCGGGCGGGACTACATCCCCCAGCATGCCCCGGGACCGGCGCGGCGCCGTGACGGCCCCGCCCGGCGCGGCCTCACCCCCGCCCCGCGGTGCCGGCGGCGGCCATGCTGCGGCCCAAGGCCCTGACGCAGGTGCTGAGCCAGGCCAACACCGGCGGCGTCCAGAGCACGCTGTGAGTGCTGCGGGCCGGGCGGGGGGCGGCCTTCCCCGAGCGGGCACGGCGGGCGGCGGGCGCTCCGCGATGCGGGGTGACGCCGCTGCGGGGGGATGCTTTCCCTGCCCGGGATGGTTCCCTCGTAGCTACCCCGGGCGGATACTGCCGCTGTCCCTGCCCCAGGGGATGCTGCTACCATTCCTCTGTCCCTGAACCTGCCTGGGCCGTGCTGCCCCTGTCCCTAGCCCAGGGATGCTGCCTGCCCCTATCCCTGTAGCAGGGGATGCTCCCTGCCCCTGCCCTGGGAATGCTGCCCCAGCCCCTGCCCCTGCCCTGGGAATGCTGCCCCTGCCCTGGGAATGCTGCCCCCGCCCCTGCCCTGGGAATGCTGCCCCAAATGCTGCCCCAGCCCCTGCTTCTGCCCTGGGAATGCTGTCCTCAGCCCAAGGATGCTGCCTGCCCCTGTTCCTGCAGCAGGGAATGCTCCCTGCTTCTGCCCTGGGAATGCTGTCCTCAGCCCAAGGGTGCTGCCTGCCTTTCCCCAGCTCCTGCTCTTGCCCTTGCACCTTCTCCTGTCCTTGCCTGGGGATGCTCCTTGCCCTTGCTCCTGCCCCTGCCTGGGGATGCTCCTTGCCCTTGCTCCTGCCCCTGCCTGGGGATGCTCCCCGTCCCTGCCCAGGGAAGGCAAAGGGCCAGGCCCTTCCAGGGGCAGGCGTGGGACTGACACCACACACCCTGCGTGGTGCTGGGCTACAGATGGTGCTGGCACTGTGCACAGCGTGTGGGGCTCCTTCCCTGCCTGGGGATGCTCCTTGCCCTTGCTCCTGCCCCTGCCTGGGGATGCTCCCCGTCCCTGCCCAGGGAAGGCAAAGGGCCAGGCCCTTCCAGGGGCAGGCGTGGGACTGACACCACACACCCTGCGTGCTGCTGGGCTACAGATGGTGCTGGCACTGTGCACAGCGTGTGGGGCTCCTGGTGTCTGGTGCTGGGATGCCTCCTGCACAGTGCAAAGGCCGTGCTCAGAGCTGGGGCTGTGCACAGTGTTTGTCCCCAGGCTCATGCCCAGCCTGTGGCAGGTCCTGCTGCTCCAGCAGACTGATCCACCACAACCCTGCTCGGGCCTGGGGGCCACTGCAGAGCTTTCTGGCTTTGAAGCCCCCCTGTCAAACCCCTGTGGAGTGGGAGTGTCTTGGGAGCAGTGCTTGGGACTGGGGGTTTGTTCTGCCCCTGGTTTTGAGAGGGTGTTAGAGGCATCAGTTTGCCCTGCCGTGTCCTCCCCAGGCTGCTGAACAACGAGGGCTCCTTGCTTGCCTACTCGGGCTACGGGGACACTGATGCCAGGGTCACCGCGGCCATCGCCAGCAACATCTGGGTGGCCTACGACAAGAACGGGCACCAGGCCTTCAACGAGGACAACCTCAAATTCATCCTCATGGACTGCATGGTATGTGGGGCTGGAGCCTGCCCTGCCCTGCCTTGATGCCAGGACCGCGTTGGGGGTCCAGGCCAAGCTGGGGTGCAACGGGTGCTGTTTCTCCCTGGGCAGGAGGGGCGAGTGGCCATCACACGGGTGGCAAACCTGCTGCTCTGCATGTACGCCAAGGAGACGGTCGGATTTGGGATGCTGAAAGCTAAGGTAATGGCTGGGGGGTCGGCAGGGCTGCATCCCTGCTTTGGTGTGGGAAAGAGCTCTTTCTTTTGGGATGGAAGGGCTGGAGGAAGCTGCCGTGCCTGGGACGCTCTTTGCACCTTGCAGAGACTCCTCTGTCCCCTGTGCCTGCCCAGGCACAGCATGACACCTTTCTAAGGTTCTAAACTGAAATATAAATTACAATAAGCAAACAGGCAGTGGGCAACACGTGTTGCAAAACCCACCTGAGCGTGGCTCATGCCATTCTCTGCTTGCAGGCACAGGCACTGGTCCAGTACCTGGAGGAGCCCCTCACGCAGGTGGCCGCATCGTGAGCAGGCAGTGGAGGGCTCTGAGGTGCCACTGGGCCCCAACAGCATCACCATCACCACCCTGGGAGGGGCATGAGTGGCCCCACGGGCATCCCGGAGCTCCAGTGTGGTCAAAAATAAGGTGGCAGGAATGCGGATGCTGGGGGAATAAAAGCATGTTTGATGCTCGTGTGTGTTGTGTCTGTTTTGGGGGAGCTGAGGGGTAACACAGCTGGACAAGGTGCCCATTGCCCTGGGGAAGACAAGAAGTTGCAAGGGGCTGTTGTCAAAGGAGGGGGGTTACAGCAGAGCCGAGCCCCTGCACAGCCCTGCTGGTCACACTGGGATAGCTGGGGGTGGTGGGGGCTCCTTCCCATCCTTATTTCCCTGCCTTTCACACGATGGCAGCAGAGGCGAGGGAACATTCAGAGCGGCGGGAGCCGGGCTGAGCGGGGATTCTGCTCCTGGCACGGCTGCCCTCGCTGCCATCCCACCCGCCAGTGCCCTGCTCTGCCTTTGCTGCCATCGCAGCACACGCTGCCCTCGGTGCCATCGCTGCCCTCGATGCCATCACACCCGTCCCAGCCCCACGCTGCTGTCCCACCCGTGCCACCCTCCCAGGCTGCCCTGCTGCCCTCCGTGTCCTGTCCGTGCCACCTTCCCAGGCTGCCCACGCCGCCCTCCGTGTCCTGCCCTCGCTGCCCTCCGTGTCCTGTCCGTGCCACCCTCCCACGCTGCCCTCCGTGTCCTGCCCTCGCTGCCCTCCGTGTCCTGTCCGTGCCACCCTCCGTGTCCTGTCTGTGCTGCTCTCCGTGTCCTGCCCGTGCCACCCTCTGTCTCCTGTCTGTGCCACCCTCCGTGTCCTGCCCGTGCTGCCCTCCGTGTCCTGTCCGTGCCACCCTCCGTGTCCTGCCCGTGCTGCCCTCCGTGTCCTGTCCGTGCCACCCTCCGTGTCCTGCCCGTGCCACCCTCCCTGTCCTGCCCGTGCCGCCCTCCGTGTCCTGCCCCCGCTGCCATCCCAGGCTGCCCGCTCTGCCCTCGCTCCCTCCGTGCCCACGCTGCCCGTACCGTCGGCGCTGCTCCCGCTGCCCCAGCCCTCCCCGCACTCAGGACCGGGCCCTGGCTCCTCCTCCAGCCGCCCCGTGACGGTCCCAGGGGTGACACTACCTGCCCAACCTGCGCTGCGACACCCAGTCCCACCCCTTGAGCCAGGCGGCCGCGCTGCCGCCAGCTCGGCCTCTGTCGCCGCCGCTGCCCCGGACCCCCCTCGCCCCCCGGCAGAGAGGAACCCTCGGCCGCTCCGTGCCCTCGCTCGGCGCCTCCGGGATTCCGCCCCGCCGTCTGCTCGAGGCTTGGCAGCGGGAAGGAGGAAACCCGGGGCGGCCCCGCGGGGCAGGCGGCGGCGACATGGGCAGCGCCGAGGAGGACTATAACTTTGTCTTCAAGGGTGAGTCCTGCGCTCCATGCGACCCCTCCTTCCCCAAAAGGAGGGGAGCAGAAAGCCGGGGGCTGCGGGGAGGGAAGGAGGGTGCCCTTTCCCCAGGACGGCGGTGTCCTGAGCTGGGGCGTTGTTGACAATCCCTGAAGCTGTGGTGGGCACCGGGAGCTACGGAGGGTCAGGGGACCGGGGGGACTGGCACGGTCTGCTGGTGGCAGTGAGGCCAGCCAGGTCCACAGAGACCCGGGAAGATCCACACTCACCCCAAGCCTGAAGGTGTGCAGTGCCAGGCAAATTGCTGTTATGGGACAGGGGGGGCTGTGAAAGCTGGGGCTGAGTGTGTGAGACAAACGCCACAAGAGCCTGTAACCCCCAAGAGCAGTGGGCATTGAAAAATCACTTTCTGCAGTGACCTGGGCAGTGGCACATGCAGAGGACGTGGGGGTCAAAGCTGAGCTGGAGAAATGGAGGCACAGCCTCACACCTCCCATGCTGAGCTCCTTGGGCCCACCTGGTCTCTGCCAAATACTCTTAGCTGGGGCTCAGTGCTCCCTTTGGGCAAGTGTGTGTGCCAGCTGTCCTGGGTGCCCACTGCAGCAGGGTGACCCAGGGCTCACCAACACCCTTGCCCTGCTCCTGCTGCCCAGAGGCTGCAGCCATGACCCCCTGACCAGCTCTGGGGCTGCACCAGCCCTAGGGAGCACAGCTGAAGGAATGACCACACCAGGGGTTAAACCCAGCCTCTGCCACCAGTCTGGGGTCACCGGACAGCGGGCAATGCCCATGCAACCAGTGCTGGTAGCTGCAGCCCAGTGGGATTTCTCCTTCCTTCCTTCCACAGTCGTGCTGATCGGGGAGTCTGGGGTGGGAAAAACAAACCTGCTGTCTCGCTTCACCCGCAACGAGTTCAACCACGACAGCCGCACCACCATCGGCGTGGAGTTCTCCACGCGCACCATCCTGGTGGGAGACGCCGCGGTGAAGGCTCAGATCTGGGACACGGCCGGGCTGGAGCGCTACCGCGCCATCACCTCCGCGTGAGCACCCCAAACCCTGCCTCTCCTGGGCTGGGGGTCAGCCCCACGGGTGAGGATGCCGTGGGGAGGGGGATCTGGGGCACGGAGTGATGGTGGGGTTCTCACACAGGTATTACCGGGGGGCTGTGGGAGCCCTGGTGGTGTTTGATATCACCAAGCACCAGACGTACGACGTGGTGGACCGCTGGCTGAAGGAGCTCTACGACCACGCCGAGGCCAGCATCGTTGTCATGCTGGTGGGGAACAAGACTGACCTTGCACAAGCTCGAGAGGTGCCCATGGAGGAGGCAAAAATGTTTGCAGGTACAGGGCTGGGGGCTTGAGAACCTCCCCCACCAGTGCAGGCACCCAAACACCTCTAAAGGAGCTCCAGATTGGAACCGTGTCCTCACTGGGGTCTGCATCATCTCAGGGGTCTCCTCTCCTTGCAGACAACAACGGGCTGCTGTTTGTTGAGACCTCGGCGCTGGACTCCACCAATGTTGAGGAAGCATTCGAGACCATCCTCAAGGGTACAGGCACTGGTGCCGTGGTGCAGCAGGTCCCAGGGCAGTGCAGGGTCCCTTTCCAAGGATGCAGGGCTGGGAAGAGGATGATGTGCAGCACTTCTTCCCCTGCTCCACTTGAGCTATTTAGGGCTTGTTTCATGAGGTCTTTTGGTGTTTTCTTTCTGTCTGCTTTGGTTTTCAGCCTTTGGTGCTGGGCGTTTCACTCCCCACACCCGAAGCTTTGTTCTCACGGCCCCTGGGCGTCCCTGAAGCCCCAGGGGCTGCTTCTCCCCCGTAATCTCCAGTCTCCTTCCTGTTGTCCTGGGCTCATGACTTGGTGTCTCCAGCATCCTGCCAAACCGGCTGTGGGGACCTGGGGGGCCAGGGATGGAGTCCAAGAGCAGCTCTCCAAGAATGGCAGTCAGCAGCATCCAGGCAGTGAGGTGTGCCATGCCATGCTGAGCCGTGCCAAGCCATGCAGAGCCATTCCATGCCATGCCATGCTGTGCTGTGCTGGGCTGAGCCAGCCTGGCCCAGTGAGCTGCCAGCCCCAGCACAGGGTGAAGCACTAATCCCAGGTTGGGCAAGAGGAAATGGGCCAAGCACAGGGTGTTCCCCAAGCGCTGCAGGGATGCACGCCTTGTCCCTTGTCACCCCTTGAGTCGGGGGGTAAATAACTCCCTCTGCTGTGTAGAGGTGAAGAAAAGCCACCAGCACGCCGAGCAGTGGGGGCTGCAGGCTTGAAACTGTTCCTGCATCCCCAGGGGGCCTTGGCTGACACACAGACCCCCCCCAGCACTTCTTCTTTTGCAGAAATCTTCTACAAAGTGCAGAAGCAGAAGCAGAGGAGCAGCCAAAGCAACACGGTGTCACTTGCAAGTGAGAACCCTGCAAGCACGGCCCCAGCACAGGCAGAGAGGCGCCCGTGCTGCGTGGCCCTCTGAGCCATCTGAGCACCCCAGGAAGTCCCCAGGGAACCCCACAACCCCGGGACACACCAGCGGCCACCAGCACAAGCTGGTGTCACCCTGCCTGCAGTGCCACCCCTGTCCTGGTGCAGTGGGGACCAGCAGCCTGGACAGGGGTCAAAGTCTGCCATAAGCAGTGAGAAGCAGCAGTTCCAGGAGCTCTTCTCTCTCTGTTGCATTTTTGCTGGGCCCTGATTAGCATCACCACTGTCACGCACCGTTTCAGCCCTTCTGGACCTGCAGGGCAAAATGACCAGGACACCCCCGAAGCCAGTAGGTTCTGGGCAGGATCATGCCAGCAACAGGAGCCTCTCTGATCACCTCTGGCCCTAGGGTTGCTCCCGTAGGGCCACCCTGTGCCGTGCACTGAGGATGAGGCTGACCTACAGGTGTCTGTCCCACCAGGGGCTGCTCTAGGGTGTGAAGTGGCAGCACTCGGCCCTTGGCTGTCCCAGCAGGGCCCGGTGCCACGGGGCAGGGAGCAGCTCTGTGTCCAGCACGGGCGTGACGCAATCATTAAAGGACTTGTGACATGCAGATTTACTGAGCTGGAATTCCTTCGTGTTTGTGGTCAACGCCCTGGGTCCCCACCTTCATAATGTGCTGAAGATCCGTGGCCTCCAAAGCAGCCCAGCTGGATGCCACTGCTCCCCTGTGTCCCCTCCCACCCAAAATTCATGCTCCCCCTGTACCCCCTCCCACCCTAAAGCCATTCTCCCTCTCTGTGTGCCCCCTCCCACCCTAAATCCATTCTCCCCCTGAGCCCCCTCCCCTTGCAGCCTTTCCCAGTTTAGGTCCCCATGTTTGAACTTTGAGTCCAAAGGATGACGCAGCCTCTCCCGGTTATCTGAAACCCCTCGGAACCGGGATAATTCCTGCCGGATTCTCCGTCTCTTCCCTGGCTTTCCCTTGGCACCACGCCCGCCGTGCCAGCCCAGCTGCGTGTCCCACCCACGGCTCTGTGCGGGGCTCGCTGTCCCCATCAGCAGCACACACAGGTGGTGGCTGTCCCCGCCCCCCTTACCTGCCCAGGTGAGCACACCTGAGTGTGACGGGCAGCCCCGGCCGCCAATGGGTGCGGAGCAGGGAAGGCTGTGGCCACCAATGGGTGGCAGGGGACAGCCCCTGGCAGGGCTGGGTAAGGCCCGGAAATCCCAGCTGGCCCAGTGGCACTGGGGCTGTGGAGCTGGGCGACATGCGGGGCAAGGACGATGAGTACGATTATCTCTTCAAAGGTGGGTGTGCTGCCCGTGCCCCCGCGAGCGTGCCCGTGCCCGGTCAGCCCGCTGCTGGCACTCCCGGTGTGGGACTGGGGCTGGGACTGGGAGAGAACACTCAATTCCCAGTTCAAGGAGGTGGCTTGGACTGGGAGAGAGCACTCAGCTCCCACTTCTTGGGACGGGGCGGGGAGGGGGCTTGGAGTGGGATGGAGTACTCAGCTCCCACTTCATGGAGGGGGCTTGGACTGGGATAGAACACTCAGCTCCCAGTTCATGGAGGGGGCTTGGACTGGGATAGAACACTCAGCTCCCAGTTCATGGAGGGGGCTTGGACTGGGATAGAACACTCAGCTCCCAGTTCATGGAGGGGGCTTGAACTGGGATAGAACACTCAGCTCCCAGTTCATGGAGGGGGAGCTGAGGCTGTGACTGGGAGAGAACACGCAGCTCCCAGTTCTTGGGATGGGAGGTGGGGTTCGTACTGGGAGACAACACTCAGCTCCCAGTTCATGTGATGGGAGGGGGTCTTGGAGTGGGACTGGGGTAGAACACTCAGCTCCAAGTTCACAGGACGAGAATCTGGGGCTGGGACTGGGATAGAACACTCAGCTCCCAGTTCACGGAGGGGACTTGTACTGGGATAGAACACTCAGCTCCCAGTTCACAGGACAGGAGCTGGGGCTGGGACCGGGATAGAACACTCAATTCCCAGTTCATGGGATGGGAGGGGAGGCTTGTACTGGGATAGAACACTCAGCTCCAAGTTCACAGGACGAGAACCTGGGGCTGGGACTGGGATAAAACACGCAGCTCCCAGTTCACGGAGGGGGCTTGGACTGGGATAGAACACTCAGTTGCCGGTTAATGGGATGGGGAGCTGGGGTTTGTACTGGGATAGAACACTCAATTCCCAGTTTACAGGATGGGAGAGGGGGCTTGTACTGGGATAGAACACTCAATTCCCAGTTCACGCTTGGCTGGGGGGGCTTGTTGTGGTGTTCCACTGTGCTGGGAAGGCGGGTGGGTGCTGGTGAGCCTGGGGCTGAAGTGCTGCTGTGGTCGGAGGGTTTGCTGGAGCTGCTCCCGTGGTTTGTGGTCCCGATGCTCGCGACAGCCTCTCCTGACTCCTGCGGGAGGGGCTGCAGCCCCAGCCGGGGTGCAGTGCCCTGGAGGGTGGCAGAGTGGCAGTGGCTGTGACAGGGTGGCAGTGGCAGGGTGGCCCTGGCAGGGTGGCCATGGCTGTGTCAGGGTGGCCGTGGCAGGGGTCCTGGCAGGGTGGCAGTGGCCGTGGCAGGGTGGCCATAGCTGTGACAGGGTGGCCGTGGCCATGGCAGAGTGGCCGTGGCAGGGTGGCAGGGTGGCAGAGTGGCCGTGGCAGGGTGGCAGTGGCCGTGGCAGGGTGGCCCTGTGCTCTGCTCTGCGGTGCTGGGTGAAGCTGAGAGCCGAGTGATCTCCCCCAGCAGAGAAAGCCCTGCTGCTCCCCAGCTGCAGTGGAGGGACAGGATCCAGGGATCTGGGCTTGTCCTTGCTGGTGCTGGACATGCTCTGACCTCACTGCTGTGCCCCGTGAGGGTGGGGGACAGGGACAGGCTCCTGGGGACACGGCGTTGGCATTTCTGCCCATCCCTGTGTGTGCCAGGCTTCCCCGCGCTCTGCTGTGCCCAGAGCAGGTGCTGGGGAGGCAAAGGGACGTCTCGGCAGTGCCGCAGCCTCCTGAGCCATAAAATCCAGGGTGTGAGCTCACCGGTGGGTGGCTGTGAGTCAGCCTACCCACACAGGCCTGCCCGCCAGGCCCCGAGTAATTCCAGCCTCCGACAGGACGTAATTCCAGCCAGCCGTGTGCTGGTAGCCCCTGGCTCCTTGCACACCTCCCCTGGCTGCTGCCCAGGAAAATCCTCCTGCCTGCAGTTACTCTGGGACCTGCTGTGGGGAAACTGATGCTGAGTGGTGCCTGGATGCCCTGGCAGGAGCTCTCCCAGCTGCTTTGTTCTGTGCTTCCCACCCGGTGCTGTGCCAGCTGCGTGGCTCTGAGGGGGCTTCAGTGCCTGGTCCTCGTGTGTCTGTCCATCCCCTGTCATTCTGCAGGAGCCAGGGCTGGGAGCAGCTCCCCACAGGCTCTTCATTCCCCTCCTGGGTCTCAGCGTGGTCTCTGGAGTCATTAAAAAATATAGAAGAATTCAGTTTTCAATGCAAGGGCAGCTCATCCCTTCCAAAGCAGGGGAATGCAGTGTTCAGGGGCATGGAGCTGGGCTGGTGCTCCCAGGGTCCAGCAGCTCTCTCCCATGAGAAAAAGGAGATTATCCCAGCTGGAAGCAGCATTGTCCCGAGTTCCACAGAAATGGGAGCATCAGTTGCTGCCAAGCACAGTGCACATTCCAGCTGTGCAAGGCCCTGGCACTGCCAGAGGGGCTCAGCATGGCTGAGGAGCAGCTCTGGGCATGGCTGCTCCTCAGACCCTTCCTTGGGGCCCTGTGAGGAGCTCCGGGCTCTTTCCATCCCTGCAGTGAGACGTGGAGGGTGGCAGTGGGGACAGAACGTGTCAAATGCTTTTGTGCCTGGGGTGGGGGGTGCTGCTTCAGCTCCTGAAGCCGTTCAAGCTCAGGGACGTGGGGCTCATCACCCCCACGGGCTGCAGCACCCACCCTGCATCCCTGGGGTGGCCCAAAGCCCTCTGGAGCCTGCCACGGAGCCTGGCACTGCCAGGATGGCCGTTGAGCTGGGGAAGCAGCAATTTCCTGTTGGTAAAAAACCGAGCTCAGATCAAAACTTCAAAGCTGGCTAGTGAACCTGGCCTGCATTTCCTACTGCCTTGTCCAGGGCAGTCCGGGTGGTCCTCTCACACCTCCCTGCAGTGGGCAGCAGCTGAGAAGTCTCCCCAGCAGCTGGGAAAAGGGTGAGGGGTGGGATTCTGCCCCTCTGCTCCACTTTGGTGAGGCCCCCCAGCACAGGAGAGGCGTGGAGCTCCTGGAAGAAGTTGAGGAAGCCACAGAGATGCTCCAAGGGCTGGAGCCAGGCTGGGGGAGCTGGGATATTCAGCCTGTAGAAGAAAAGGCTCTGGGAAAACCTCAGAGCCCCTTCCAGTGCCTAAAGGGGCTCCAAGGGAGCTGGAGAGGGACTTTGGACAAGGGTCTGGAGGGACAGGACAAGGGGGAATGGCTTCCCACTGCCAGAGGGCAGGGTTAGATGGGATATTGGGAAGGAATTCTTGGCTATGAGGGTGCTGAGGCCCTGGCACAGATGCTCAGAGAAGCTGGGGTTGCCCCTGGATCCCTGGTGGCTGCACTGGTGGAGGCTTTGCAGCATGCAGGGGACCCATGTCTCAAGCTGGAGCTGGAGGGAAGGAGTTACCCAGGACCAGGAGCAGCATCCTTGCAGGATGCTGGCTGCTGAGGTAGCAGTGCCTTGCTGAGGCTCCTCAGGGTGTGACATCCCAGTGGCCCCTTGCTGTTCCTGTGGTGCTCCCCAGCCTGCTCGCTGGATGGTTGTGACCTCAGCCCTGCTGTTGTCCAAGCCTGGTGGGGACACATGTCCCACAGGTGGGTGAAGAGTCTGAGTGCACCTGGGGAATGAACAGGATTGGCAGTGAAGGAATTAAAAGTAACTTTAAAAATAAAACCAAAACCCTGTTGAGTCATAAACTCAACAAACTTGACTGGGGAGGTGTGTGATAAAGCTCCCCAGAGCCTGTTTCACCAGGTTTTACAGGAACCAGCCCCATCTGGGACAGGCACAAAATGCATTTAACCCACACCCAGGGACTTCCCAGCTCGTGGGCTGGACCAGCAGCAGAGAGGAGGATGCTTCCTTTCAAACTGTGTCTTCAAGTCTTCCAGCGTGCCCTCAGGGCTGGAGGGCACTCAGGGTTGGCAGGAGGAGCCCCAGCTCTGCCTGGCCTCTGCACGGGTCCTGACCCTGCTTTTCTGCCCATTTTGGGTACATCAGTGCACACGGTGCTTTCCCATCCCGCAGAGACAGAAACTTCTGGTAACTTCCCAGGGATGGCAGGGATTTTCTCAAGGGGTATTTACAGGCAGCAGTGATGCTGCTGGGAGGCGTGGAGGCAGCCTCACCCCTCCTGGGTGAGATGGAGCTGGGGTCTGGAAGGGGGGGCAGATGGGGGGATTGGAGATGGGTGCCTGGGGGAGCTGACCCTGTCTTTGTGCCCACCCAGTTGTGCTCATCGGGGACTCGGGGGTGGGCAAGAGCAACCTGCTCTCACGCTTCACCCGCAACGAGTTCAACCTGGAGAGCAAGAGCACCATCGGGGTGGAGTTTGCCACGAGGAGCATCCAGGTGGACAACAAGACGGTGAAGGCTCAGATCTGGGACACGGCCGGGCAGGAGCGCTACCGCGCCATCACCGCCGCGTGAGTTTCCTCCCTCCCAGCCTGGGCCCTTGCCCGGGGTTCTGGAGCAGACCCAGGTCCTGCAATGGCTCCTTGGTGGTCAGAAGCCTGAGCTAGGAAGTGCCAAGTCATGATTACTGGGCCTTAGAAGCCCCTCTCCTCCGCCTTTGGACCCTGCTTATCTCTCTGTAAGCCTATGGGTCACTTTCCTTACTATTGGGCAATTTCCAAAACATCTGTATCCTACATAAACCCCTCCTTCTGCCCAGTTCAGCAGAAGAGCTGTCACTAAGAACCTTCGTAAAAGACCCCAATAAAGAATTCCTAAGGAACCTCACACAGCCTTCTCCTCTCTTTTCCTGCATCTGCCTGGCACTTAGCAAGCTAAAGAGCTGAAATCACCCTTGCTTATCTCTCTGTAAGCCTATGGGTCACTTTCCTTACTATTGGGCAATTTCCAAAACCTCTGTAAGGTATCTAAAGCCCCCCTTCTGCCCAGTTCAGCAGAAGAGCTGTCACTGAGAACCTTCATAGAAGACCCCAATAAAGAATTCTCTGGAACCTCACACAGCCTTCTCCTCTCTCTCCCTGCATCTGCCTGGCACTTAGCAAGCTAAAGAGCTGAATTCGCCCTTGCTTATCTCTCTGTAAGCCTATGGGTCACTTTCCTTACTATTGGGCAATTTCCAAAACCCCTGTAAGGTATCTAAAGCCCCCCTTCTGCCCAGTTCAGCAGAAGAGCTGTCACTGAGAACCTTAGTAGAAGATCCCAATAAAGAATTCTTTGGAACCTCACACAGCCTTCTCTCTCTGCATCTGCCTGACACCCATCAAGCTAAAGAGCTGAATTCACCCTTGCTTATCTCTCTGTAAGACTCTAGGTCACTTTCCCTTGACCCTTACTATTGGGCAATTTCCAAAACCCCTGTAAGGTACATAAACCCCTACTTCAGCCCAGTTCAGCAGAAGAGCTGTCACTGAAAACCTTCGTGGAAGACCCCAATAAAGAATTCTTTAGAACCTCACAGAGCCTTCTCCTCTCTCTCCCTGCATCTGCCCCGCACCTAGCAAGCTAAAGAGCTGAAATCACAAATGAGCTGATAATTAATAAGAGCTGATATCACTTGAGCTTGCTGAGGTTGCCTGTGGCTAGCAGCTGCTTGGGAGCTCAGACAGGCTGTGCTGAGCAGGACTGAGCTACCCAGACCAAGGCAGCCCACCAGGCATCATACCTTGGCTGAAAAGCCACCAATAGTGCCCTGCTGTGACCCTGTCCCCTCCCTTTTTATATTTTCTTTTCCAGAGATAGGTCTAATAAGCTCTCTGAGAAATATAATACACCCAAGGATAGCTAAGCTGTCCTTAAGGGCATAAAATAAGCAGGATGACTTCTGCTGCAGTGTTGGAAACAAAAAGGTTTAATAAAAGGCAAAATAACAAACAAAAAAACCCGAGCCAAGTGCAGAGGTCTGCTCCTGGTAAAAACACCTCACAAAAGCCCCTAGTTCCTTTGTTCTCTTCTTTTTCTACCCAATTGGCCAAGCGTGACTTTTTGGCTTTTATCCAATTCGCTGCCCTTAAGTTTTATGTGAAGTCCCATGAAGTGGCTTTTCACCTAATCATTGAGAGAAACTTCAGGGCTTCTTCCCTTTTTTGGGAGGCACAGGATAGTTTTGCCAGTCTGCCAACAGAAGGCACACCCCTCCCCTCCCTGTCTCCCAGGTACTACCGAGGGGCAGTGGGAGCTCTGCTGGTCTACGACATCGCCAAGTACCTGACGTACGAGAACGCGGAGCGCTGGCTCAAGGAGCTGCAGGACCACGCCGATGCCAACATCGTCATCATGCTGGTGGGCAACAAGAGCGACCTGCGGCACCTGCGGGCCGTGCCCACCGACGAGGCCAGGAGCTTTGCAGGTATCTTCCCCATCCCATCCATCCCATCCCATCATCCCATCCATCATCCGATCCCATGGATCCCATCCCATGGATCCCATCCCATGGATCCCATCATCCCATCCCATCCCATCATCCCATCCCATCCCATCATCCCATCCCATGGATCCCATCCCATGGATCCCATCCCATCCCATCCCATCATCCCATCCCATCATCCCATCCATCATTCCATCCCATCATCCCATCCCATCCCACTGGAGTCATAGCACCCACCTGAGCTGACGCTGTTCTTGCAGAGAAGAACGGGCTGTCCTTCCTTGAGACGTCTGCTCTGGATTCCACCAACGTGGAGACAGCTTTCCACAACATCCTCTCGGGTAAGGGGCGGCCGGGAAAGGGAGGGACAGGAGTAGAGGTGGCTTTGGGCATCCCTGGGGGCCTGGCTGTACTGGGTGGCATCTGGGCTGGAATCCTGCTCCCCTGCACGGGGAGAGGTGGGCATTCGCACCCCCGGAGCTGTGCGTTTGTGGAGGGAGCAGTTCCCCCAGTGAAACACTTCCCTGAAGACCTTTTTCATCTGCTGGCAGAGATCTACCGCATCGTGTCTCAGAGGCAGATCACGGGACAGCCGGAGCCCGAGTTCGGCCCCTCCACCTCCATTGAGCCCATCCAGGTGCTGCCCACGCAGCAGGAGGGCCGGCAGGCGCCCTGCTGCCAGAACATCTGAGCCCCCGGGCTGCCCCCACCGTGACCCCCCAGCACACGGCGCCATCGGGGGTCTCCCAGCCCCGAGCAGAGCAGTGAGCTCCGGCTGCTGTGTGTGCACCACCACCCTGCCCGCGTGCTGTGTTTGTGTAGGACCAACAAAACCAAAGCATCAGGGGGTCTCCCCTCTCTCCCCGAGGTCAGGGCATGCCATCCCCTGTGTCCCTGCTCCCTCCAGCCCTGCAGGCACAGTGGGTGACACTGAACAAGCCTGAACGTGGTGAGTCCCTGTTGGTGACTCCTCGTGGGGTGGGGATGGAGGGGGACGCTGGGTGCATCCTTCTCCTGCCTGGTGAAGCCAGCAGTGCTGTGGCCTGTCCCCCTGTCCCTGCAGCACCGAGGGCTGGGAGTGCCTCTGGGTGCTGCTGGGGCCATCCAGGGAGGGGTGTGGGGGTGACACCGTTTTTGTGCAAAGAGAAAAGCTGTGACTCTTCCATGGGAACAGGGGCTGGGGGGCCCTGGCCTTTGGGAAGCCCCGAGGAGGGGACAGGGGAGCACCAGGGATCTGGGGCTGAGGGCAGGGATGAGGTGCTGAGGGTAGGCAGTGGTCCCTCTGCACAGGGGGGAGCCAGGGTCAGCACTGGGGACCCCCTCAAGGTCCCCCTGGCATAGCTTGGCCCTCCCCTGCTCCAGTGTTTGGCTGGTGGGCATCACCCAGGGTACTGGCACAGACTGTGCTGAGCCCTGTGCTGCTGTCAGGATGATTGGCAGGTGTCAATCAAGAGGGTGCAGGTGGGAAGGCCTGCCCCATTGGCCCAGTACTGGGAGTGTAGCCCCTGTCACGTGGGGTTTTGGGGGATCTTTCTCTCCACAGCTGCCCCCAGTCTCTGCATTTCCCTTGGCTGTGCCAGTAGGATCCGGGCCACGGTTCCCCCTTGGGGCATGGTTTGTCAATGAAACAGAAATTGAGGCAAAATCCCCAAATAAAGCTGCTGCTGAAGCCTTTTCTGTCTCTGCCAGGTCTCTCCTTGAGGCAGGAGCAGTGCCAGCCCCACATGGGGCAGCTGGGAAGCACCCACAGGCAAGGAAGGGTGAGGAGGAGGAGGGCTGGGAGGAAGATGTGACTGCAACCCGGGCAAGGGGCTGTCCTGCTGGGAGGCCAGAGGGGAGAGCTTGAAATTCAGGCTTAGAAGAGGTGGGATCCTGCTGCTGGTCCAGAGATGCACAAATGGGGTGCAGAAGCAGCCACACCATAGGGGTGCCCCTTTTTATCCACCCCAGCCCTGGCAGCACCTTAACCCTGGCTCCAGCCCCCTGGCACTGTGTCCCTACACCATGGCACTGCCCCCTCCAGAGGCAGCCTCATCCCTGAGCTGGCCAGACCCATCCTCTGTGACCCCCTGGGTCTGTCCCCAGCTGGGTGGTGTGGCCCCTTCCCCACGGGCTGTGCTCTACCCCATGCCCACCTCAGCTGGAAAAGCCCTGGAAACGTGCAGGAAATGCCAAGCACCACCTCCTCCCACGCCATCTGCCCACACCAAAGCACGGTGCCAAGAGGTGATGTCAGCCCCACCGGCTGGAGAGGTGGGCATGTGGGGGATGGATGCTGCTCCACAAAGGGACAGGGCTCAGCCAAGTGTCCCTGGGGCCTCCCTGCCACGGGATGTGCCATCAGCTGGGCACTGGCAGGGGGTGGTGGGTTCATTTAGACTCATGGAGGCTCGACAAGTCAGATTTGTTCCAGGTTTTTCAGTTTTTGGGGTGTTTTCTGCTGGGATGAAGATGTGGGAAGCGTGAAATGTGGCTCACAGACCTGCTAGCCCCAGCTCTGGGAGAAGCAGCTGCCTCGGGAGGGGGTCACCGTCTCACAAGTGCTTTAATGAACCCCAAGAAGTGCTGCCAAAAGCACGTGGCTGGTGGGAGATGCAGGAGGGGTGGCAGAGGGAGGTGCAGCCCCACTGCCCTGGAACTCAGCCCAGCAGGGCCTTGTTCCCAACCACTGCTCCCTAAAGTGTGAACAGACACAAATCAAGAGCAGATACCAAGTTTCTTAAGTAATAATACTTTAATAAAATTAAGTTCTTAATGTAATTTAGCACATTTAATACATTAACCCTTTCCCTTCTTTGTTTTCTACAAGTTGTGCAACATCATTATTTTAATTTTATTTTATTTTAATTTTTTTTTTCCTTCTCCCATTATACTATATGCCTCAAAACTCAGACAACAAGCCTAACTCTACTTCTATGTTCGGTTATATCTCTCTCTCAGGCCTTTATTTTTTTGCGTAACGCCAGAGAGATGAAAATACCTGGATGGAACATGTGATCGGTTTCCAATAGTAACAATCCCGACTACAGGTTTCCTATGATGTTAAAAGAAAAGAGGAAAAAAAAAAAAAAAAAATACAAAATACTAGGGAATGGACTTTCAATGGAAGGACCACAGAGTCAGGGGGCTCCGTGGCCAGCTGGCTCAGCATGAGGTGGGAGAAGCGTGGGGCAGGAGCCCAGACCCGAGGGACAGCGGCTACACAAAACTTGTGCATGTCTGGGGAGAGGAAGCCAACGTGGTGCTGGGCAAGCAAAGCCAAGAAGGGCTGGGGAGGGCTGTGCTGCCCTGGGTGGGTGTGGGGGATCAGCTGCTGCAGGGACCCCGTGGCCTGGGGTGGTTCTGTGGCAAATCCCACTGGAGCCGCTCTGCCGGAGTCCCCAGGCAGCAAGAGCAGCCTGGGTGTCTTTGATAGCAGGGCAGAGCCAGAGGAAGTCCTCTGCAGCAGCAGGGGGATGCTCTGGGCATCCCTGGGGATTTCCTTGGCTTGCCTGGGGCTGGGATCAGAGCTGGCTCTGCAGTGCTGCCAGTCTGGGATCCGCCAGCCCTCGTGCCCATTGCCTTTCATGTTTGCTTAACACTGCTTTCTAATCAGGAGCAAATCCCATACTGCAAAACAGGATCCAGCCCCTGGTCCTTTTTCCCCCCCTTTTTTTCTTATGATTATCTTTAAAAGAATTCATAAAGAAAAAGGAACGCTGATGGTTTCACAGATAAGCAGAACAGCGTGTAGCCATGTCTTGTGTCCCAGCTCCTGGGAGCCAAGAGCAGATCTCACTGGCCACACCACTCTGCTACATCTCACCACTCTGTTTCTCTGCAAGTTGTTTCAAAAGCATCATCACAAGCCCAGAAAGCACATCCTGCTGTCAGCAACCCGGTGCCACCATTGGAGGGGGACTTCATTTTCGCACAGACAGTAGTGGAACTACTCCAGATTTTACATTAGTGTCACTTTACTGGGGGTGACTTTCAATTTGCTCCATTAGCAGCCCTGAAGCGATGCTGGAGCAGATCCAGCGGGGATGCTGCAGCCTGCCAGGGCTGCAATGACTCCAGATTCCAGCAGAGTAACCCACTGGAACGGGGGAGTCACAGGAGAGGGAGGCAGGAGCTGCCCAACCTCTGCTGTCTCCTGCTGGCACGGCACGGGCAAACCAAAGTCTGCCTAGCACAATCCCAGCTGAATTTTTCACTGGGTAAGCTGACAGCAGAACGTGACTTCAAGTTTCTACAGGATGTGAAAACCCACCCTAAAACACAGAGATTGCTCCCTAACATCCTAGAAGGGGTTTTTGGAAGAACCAGCCCGTGCTGGCTCTGCTGCCACCAAGGACACCTTGCTGGGGTGGGACGGGACCCACTGTCCTCACACAAGTGACGATAAAGTGCATCCACCCTCCAGTCCAGGGCACCACTGCACAATGTCCATCACTGACGCTTCTTCAAGTATCAAATTAAAAAAAAAAAACATGAGGTAAAACAAAACTGAAAGAGCAAACAGGCCGCCTCGCCGCCCCGGCAGGGAAGGACCAGGCGCTTGATTCACCGAGCATGAACCCCCCCAGAAGAGCAGGAGCCGTCCTGCCCTGCTTCCCGAAACGCCCCAGCAACCGAGGAGGCTCCCGGGGAGGGATCTCAAGATTCACAGTGCTATTTATACGCAGAAACCGAATGAGAACTGTCTTCATTCCTGTCCTGACCTATTGCATGGCTTTGCTGAGTGATGAATGCTGGTAGGGGCCAGCCCAGCCCCCCGAGGCAGGCAGGGAGCGAGGGGCGGCCGCCGCGCTTCTCAAGGCATCTGTGCGGATGCTCCCAAGCTGCAGGAGATCCGTGGGTTTGCTACAGCTGAGCCACAACTCGGGGGAGAGGAGCAAAGGCCAAACCCAGAGGGAAGCAACTCCTCAAGGGTGTTTTCTTTGCGGCACTCGGCTTTGCTGGTGACAGCGTTGCCGGCTTGGATGTTCCTTTCCGAGTTCTCTCCTTCAAGCAGAGATTTTGGTGCAGTGAAAAGCATCACCAGCACTCCAGAGAGAAGTGCTGGCCTCTCTGTGGAATGAATGGAGCAGCTGGCAGGGGCACGGGCCACGTCCTGCCCCAGTGCTGGTGCCAGGGCTGCGTTGCCCTGCCCTGCAGTGCTCAGTGGGTTTGCCACCGCAGCACCCTCTGCCTGCCGCCAGCTCCAGGAGCTCTGGCTCCTGCTCTCGGCACTGCAGGGCCTCAGATCCATCCACAGCCAACGTGCTGTGCTGGCTAGGAACAGCCTCCAGCCTCCTCTGTGCTCCTGCAGCCCAAAACCAGGCATGTGCCACGAGTGTCACTGTCCCCAAGCAGGACAGCATCAGGGCAGCTGTCAGAGAGCAAAGCTGTGGGATCAGGGATGTCGTGGCCCATCAGGGCTGTGCCTCTGGGACCAGCAGGGGCTTTTCCAAACATCTCACCCAGTGCTCAAAGCTGATGTTTGGAGGCCAAGCAAAGAAACACCCAACAAACGGAATCTCCTGGAAGATGCCACGTGCTAAAAACAAGCGAGCTCATCTCGAGGTGCACAGCATCTCCCGGTGCAACGCCACCAGGGTGAGAGAGAACCAAGCAAAAGAAAGAAAACAAAGAGGGAACAAACCAACCCTAATGCCCTGGCACTGCCCAGTGCAAGGGCAGAGCCTCCTCCTGGCACCTCGCTGCCTTCCAGCTCTGTCTGTCACCTTACAGAGGGGAGATCACCCAATCTTCCTTTCCTTCTCCTTCCCACCTGGGATGGTCCCACCTGCCCATCCCAGGATCTTCCCACACCTTTGGTGCTTGGAGAAGTTCAAAAACCAAGAACAGCCCAAGGAAAGTAACAGCAACTTTGAACATTTTTCTGCAATTTCCTGCTCCAAGCCCAAGGCTGGAAGTCAGAATAAGGCAAAAATTAATGGCCTAAAACTTCCTTATTTTGTTCCATGACTAGCCAAATCTGCCTATTTTTTATTAAAAAAGCAACACAAACCCCCAAACGTATCTTTTTAAAAAAATACATATTATTAGATCCTTTTTTTTTGTCTTTTTTTTTCCCCTCTATAAAAATAACTTCAGGACTTTGATTGACAGAAGGTACCAGTTGGTGGTTGTTATTTTGTTAGGCTTTCGGTCATTTATTTGTTTGCTTCAGAAAAATAGTACCAAAAAAAATGGAATTCCTGGGGAAGTTAACAATGATCATGTTCACAAGTTTATTTTACATTCTGCTCTGTCTGGGATCACTTGGATCTACTATAGATTAAACAATATGGATAGTATCTACTATTTGAACTAGTTAATTTTTTTTTAATCTTTACTCTAGGATTATATGAAATAAATTTGAGTGTTTATTATTATTAACATTTTTTTAATACCCATCAACGCAAACCTTTTTTTTTCTTCTCATTTTTGGTTAAAAACAAACAAACAAACAGAAAAAAAAAATCTTATTTTTTTTTTAAATGCTTCTTTGAAAGGCAACAGAGCAGAAACATCACCCCATCACCCTGCTGCTTTGGGAGGGGAGCAGGGCTGGATTTGGGGTGTGAGGGGGACAGACTTCCCCCAGCCCCCAGCCCACAGGGGCTGCTCAGCACATCCCTGGGATGAGATCCATCACACTTCAGGGTGTGCTGGAGCCATGCCGAGCTGCTTTCCTGGGAGCTCAGCA